AACGCCTTCTGCCTGTAGAGGTGTGGGGAAGTTGACACTCTGAGCTATGAGTTTGATGTAGTTGAAAACTATCCCGAATTTACATGGCAGCATTAGTAAATGTCAACAATTATCACGATACAATGTTCCCTCCCTCATTTGAAGTACAGCATTAAGGCCCAAATTTGGAGCAAGGATTTGTGCATACATCTACCATAATTATGAATAACATTGGAAAACTATGAGTGATGTCGTCCGAGAGCAGGAAGTTTTATCCGCTTCAGCCGCTTTTCCCGGCAAAGGATCGAAGGAGTCAGGGGACTTCGGTCTCTTTTTGGTTCAATGTGTACTTCACTCTTTTGATTTTAACATAATGATGACTACAGTGACAGTTCAAGTTTCGCACAATTTGCCAAGGAAGAGCACAAGAATTGGTGCAGCTTAGTGTCAACTGCCTGTTCATCACAATAGCTTCAGCGTGGGATGCAGAGTTGCACGCTTCCTTATGCCTTCGACAAGCTTTGCTTCAAAGAGGAGAGCGCAACGATCAAGTGTCTCATAGTGGTAGCTCATTTTAAAGTTTGTTATGCCTTAAAGACGTCTGCTTCATCATCGTAGGTTGTCTCTCCATATCAAAAACCTTTGGTACGTTTTCTGTGGTTATGGGATTTTAGGGTGTTGCTCCAACACCCATGCAGTTATGCCTGCATAATTACGGATCCACATTGCTATAAAAGCTGACTGAACGACAATGAAGATGTGGGAGAGTTAGGTACCACTCAATATAACTTAGTTTGGGACGATCATCTGACTTCATCGCATAAACACAACCAACAGGACACGTTCTAAATCCTTCAAATCTTCTCTAGTTCCGTCAGGTGTGTGATAATATTCATCTCCGCGAGTTATTAACACCTTTAATTATGCATGCACTGTGTCTTGCACATCTGCCTTTCGAAGCCATTTTGGTTAGTTACTGTATTTACCATCCGATTGCCGCTCTTTAGGGTTATTGCAATGTGACACATCTTTCACTTGCGTTTGTTAACTTCCACCGAAAAAGCCTTATCCTGCACTCATGCGTTGCTAGACCCTTTAAAAGTAAAACACAATAGTGTGAACCTATTTAAGGTAATGCACAGCAAGAATCAGTTTAACATGAAGCTGAAATTAAAATTTATAAAAAGAGTATGAACTTATTTTTGAGAAGTTACCACAACGACTCGGTGAGCCATAAGTGCATACAGTATATGATCCATCTTCGTATAGAGACAGCTTTTTAATTTCGTGTAGGTTCAATTTCTGGATGCAGTAGCAAGCTCCGTTTTCTACGTTTTTAATAGTATAACAAATCCAGATATTCTTTTTTGCTTTTGAATGCCTGAATTCAAGTTTGACGCTCAGTAAAACCTCCAGTCTATGGCGGCCCTCTGAGGCGGTTAGCGTGAGTTGCGCCAAGAGGTAAGTTCTAAAGAAATGCGTACACGACGACTACCTGTGCTGTCTCCAGCGCCCACGCAACTATCCCACACTCGCTGCTACTATTTATAAGCAGGCGATGCTTTTTTCAATGTGCCATGATTAATTTACATTATAATCCCGATTTTATGTTCACACCTTCCCATAGGCAAGTTTCTACACAAGACTCACGTCAAGAGCATTCTTAGGATAACCATCGGATTGGTAGTTCTAAAACTGCTTCATGTAAACCAATTATAATCAACACTAAAGCCTAACTTAATCCGCACACCTGAGTGACAATTCTTTATTACCTGAGTGAAGTTATGAGCAATCGCAAAAGCTGTTGCCGCGACACGACAAATCAACCTCGGTCCATGAACGCGTCGCCTTGCTCCTATTCGGACGCCTCTGACGCTCCGCCACTGCCAAACTTTGGCCAACGGGAATGGTGGGTTTTAAATGCGCACTACCTTAACCTACAATTTCAAAACATTTTATTGCAAATTCAAAGTGTCTAATGTAAGATGCTATTAAATTTTAATACCTTTAAATGGCTTTGTGCATTGAAGCTGAGGTGTCTATCAATTTAAATGATGCAAACTTGGGACTCCTAGTAGTAATCAGAACAGTAATTTCTCATAGAGTTAAAACAAGACGGCAATCTTTGGCTTCAGTGACATCCCTTTTAAATAACTCGGTAAATGATGTGTAACTGGTGTAGAAGGATGAGTGCAGCACTGATCAGTTAATCTTCTCACAAAGCAATCACTCGAACAACATGAAGGGAATATGGATACTCTACTTCCTTGTGCATTATTACCATCTAAGCATGACTATAAGCTTTCCTTACTTTTAACCAAGTCATCTACTGTGATGAGAGACCATGTTAAAGCATATCACAGATGCCATCTGATTTCCTCATACCTTCATGAACGGAAGACTGATAATTTTGCGGGGAACGAGAGAACAGTGGGAGTGTGTGGGACAGGTATCCTTACATCGTAGCACCATAACGTCCATTGTTTTACCTGTCACGATCTGCAGTGCTCCCTTTAGGCGAGAATTCGGATGGTTAGAATGAAGGGCACGAGTGGAATAAATTGCTTCCATTCTTGGTGTTGGCTACTTGCATGGGCCGACTTTTGGTACAAGATGTGAAGGCATCCATATTATGGTAACACAACCAATACTTCTGTGTTGATTAAATCTATCCTCCGTCACATTTCTTCAGTCTTTTGACATGGATTAGCCTTACTCAACTTTGTTTTGCATAACTGCTCCCGATTAAGGCAAGTCGTTGAAGTGCACTTCCAAAGACAACTTGAACGAATCAAAATCTAAACATTTTAGTGAGAGCTTTATCAGTAGCTATGTGCGTAATATACTTCAGGTTCCACAATAGAGACCAACTACCACCACCTGAAATCGGCTTTAAATCGGAGATCTTGAATTTCGCAAATGAGGAACAAAGGTGTACTCCCTATCCAGAATCCGATAAATTCCCCATGCAGCTTAACAAGCTTTCGATTCCAGGTGGAGGAACGACCACCTTATCCGTTGCCTCGACTACACTCCCGCGCAACTACTACATCGATTACAATATTTGTGAAAGTGATAGTGAAGACGAAGAAAACGCACCAAATTTTCCCAAAGACAAATGCCTTATAATATACTCAAAACTTAACAAGACGGACTGCGACTCGCACATTCTGCCACAGCGTAGGCATAAGCTCGTAGGTGAGGAACTCGAGAATCAAGGCAAGACACCGAGAATCCACCAGCCCTCGAAGGCCTCCACGGAGGTCAATGGGAGTTCCAGCAACCCCTCTAGGAGTGCCTACCGCCAATATAATGGATAACATCCTCTATAAACAACAAACCCTCTTCTCGGACTACTTCCTGTACCGATGTCATCTGAAACTATTTTCAGCCCAAATAATACCAACCCTGTAAATTCTAAAACAAATTGGACGTACTGCTCTACATCCCAACGAAATAAAGGTTTGCTTTAGTGTATTTTTAATGGGTGAGAATAGCCAAAAACTTCAGGCAAAGTCAGTTGTACGCGATGCGCAATGACATTGACTTCTACTGTTCAACGTCAACAACTACGTTGAAGCATTACGTCATAAGCAAACAGTGAGAACCTGATTATTAAAAGGTAAATGGGTGGATAGCTAGGTGTAATTGCTCAAGTTAAGCTGCCTGCACTTTAAAGTATCAACACAACGACATGATCCATGGGAAGGTATAGTGCAGCTAAATGGGGCAAGTTTAACTGACACTACTTAAGACTTTTATCTAATGAAGAGAAGTAAAATAACAAGGTCTCCTCACAGCTGACTAGATCACCATAGACTATTATAGACTGAGATTAACTCCGCATCATCAGAAGAATCTCGAATACAGAATGGGACTCTTACGTATCAACCGAGATGACAAATTCAGCTTCTCCGTTTCTCTTTGTTTCCAATTATTGTTTCAGGCTCCCAGATTAAGGAGGGACTTCGCCTAATTTTGACCGATGACGCGTTTTTAACCGATAATCGACAAAATCTGTTATTTAGATTTCAAGCGGCCCATTTAAGAGAGCCTTTAGTTGAGCACAGAAACTTTCGCAAACGGCTTGAGTTGCAGCTAAAATGTACCTTCTTTACTCAATCCCAAATAAACGTTGTTATGAGACCTTAATAGGCGCACTTTACTTGGGCACTGTAATACTTTGTTATTTGTTTTGTCCTTGTACTGCAACTCCAGATCCAATTGAGACTGTAGAGAAGACCGAGCATCGCTTCTCGGTCTCGTGATAGATGACTGGAGCAGCTGGTTCTTGAATGTTTCCTCGTGGCACCGGATATGTTATGATGGATAACGCGGGAGGTTGATAAAAAGAGTAACATAAACGTCGCTCAAAAAAAGAGAGAGTAAGCGTAATCATTTATGTGACCACATGGTGTTTGGCGGAAATCTTAGGATTCTTTTAGGCTCTATATGTAAGAGCTAACTTTGGGGCACTGACAATGTTTACCACTCCTTTTTTTAGGTTTACAGCTTAATGTCCTCTTCTGATTGGTAAGAAGTCTCGGAGTGCTATTGATACAACCCTTAGAACTAAATTTCCACACCATAAGAAAGCTACCGAAAAATTGTAGGCTATAAAATAAAATATATCTAAACTGCACCATTGGAACAAAACTATGACAATTATAATGTTTTCAGCAAGAAATGCGCATACATAATTGCGCGAAAAGACTGCTTCTGCATAGTCATTAAACTAAATAATTTGGAGCACAGCGAAAGTGCCTGGGCTTGCCCTTCGAACTCCAACTTATGAAATTTCATGGGCGCAAATGTCACTGCAATTTAAGGCAATACAGTGACCGCATCAATTCGATGGGTTAATTTTGCCTCGTCTTTAAAATACGTTTCAGCTCTGTTTTTATGTTCATAATGATGCTGAAACCAGGAGGCCAAATTATGATTGGTTATTTTACAACAATCTTAGAGCCAAACTCGTTATTCCACTGCACTTATGGTACGTATTTTTCGACATTCTCAGCTTGTATTCGCAGGGCAGCGATTATTATTTCTCGAAAATCGAAACTTTTGATAGAGATGAACTTGCGAATTCTGTGTCAAGTCGTAAAAAGAGAAGGAAGGAGGAACGCCGTACCAGAAGGCTGGAGAATTTGGGTATATTTATTGGAAAGTCTTCCGGAAAGATGCTTGCGAAGGCGAGGCGATATAGTGAATACGTCTCAAAATTGAAGTCGGAGGATCAGGAAAAATCTTTAGAGTTGATTCAGCGCAGGGCTTGGCAGGTGGCGCATTTAAAAGCCCAAGGTACTTTACATTATTAAAAGCCAAGCCATTATAGGTATAAAAGTAAAAACTGATTTGTCAAAGATGCAAAGGTCTGCTTTACGGGCTAGAAAACTGAAGCGTAAGAGTTCAAACCGATGGAAAGAACGAAATCAAAAGATTCAAGAGGAACGTGACGTGAGACAGAGGAAGCGGCAACGAAATCTACAACGTAGGAGTGATGCTAAGGCCTCGAAGAAGTATGGAAGATTGGTCAAGAAGGGTCACATTTTACCGCAGCTGCCGAAGGAGTAACGATCGTACTCATGCACTCCTTGTAAATATACCTCATTTCTATTGGCTCTGCAGGAAGAATTTTCATACTGTAGGCATTGCTGTTTCATTGCATTTGAAGCTGTTTTCACAAATCTAAGTGCTAAAGGAAGGTCACAACTCGTGACACTCGAGGATGGAGCCCGTCAGCCATGGCACTTATTGTCCATGATGGGTGGGTCCCCACACGTTAAGCTGCCCTTCATTTGTGACAAAAACTTAGGAGCACTTCAGTTCCCACTAAAACTTCAAACTTCCTGCGAGCAGACAGCTTTGCGTGTCAATTTTTGTGTTTTTTTTGTGTTATCATTCAACAAGAGTCCACAGGGTGTACTGTGAGTCTGGCAAATGGTCGACTTCAGCGAATCTGAAGTGCTTAAGGACTTCTAATTGGTGGTACCTTTGTTCGTTCTGATAGCGCAGCTTTTGCATAAGTGGTTGGTGTGATGTTTTGTCTATATGGAGAACACGTTTGGGTTACCGTTGGTGTAGTCCTCATCGCACACCTTGTACGTCAGCTTGGCGGTATCCCAACTTCAAGTAAAAAACTACAATTTCATGCCGACCCACTTATAAGTGAATGAAGCAGTCTGAAGCCCCCCTCCGGGGGGGGGGG